TTTGGTTTTGGTTGGTGTTTTTTTTTTTTTTACTTTTGTAGCATTATAGAATACTTAGTTTCTCTTAAGAGTTGTAAAACCAGGAAGTACTTCTCCCACCAAAACCCTCTCTTCTGTACTGTCTCATCATATTTTTTAATTTGAAATAATACATTCCTATGAATTTGAATGCTTCCTTCTCAAATGTGACAGTGGCAGGTTTTGGCTGTTTTGACACATCAGTGAAAGATTTTATGTATTTGCAAATATAAAATCAGCTTTTTCTAATCGCTTCAACTGTGCTGCAGTCAGGTTCATACGGCAATACACTGTTACTCTCTGGCATTTGTCTGATCCATGGCTGTAAAGCAGAAACTTAAATTTTCACAGCTATAACCACCTTTGTAATTTTGGAGATGATTCAAAAGCCAAAGTTGTCATGATTCAAAATTAGAGTCATAGAATAATTTAGGTTGGGAAAGACACTTAAGATCATCAAGTCCAACCATAAATCTAACACTACCAAGTCCACCACTAAACCACAGTTTTGTGTGTTTGATAATGAAGTCCAGAAGTGGCATACAGTAAATCTTCTTTTTTGGTGTCTTCAGGTATCTAGTATGCATAACAAATTCTCTGTTACTACTTTTAAAAAGGAAAAAGAAAAACCCCACCAAAAAAACCAGAAAACCCAACCCAAAACTCACAAAAGCCTTGTCCACAATAACGCAATGTTTGTGATAAAATTTCAACTTCTGCAATTCATTTGACCTTTTCCTATATATTTTGATGAAGAAATTACGCATGTTACAAAATGGGGAAAATATATCTCACCACAGGTCTCAAAAGGTAAATGGAGATTTTTCATCTAAGACTTGCGCTTTTATAAGTGTGGTACAGCAGTCTAGTCTAGGCATCTGGGTAGAGAACAGAAGGCTCTCCAATGTAACAGATATCAAATGACCAAAACATGATACTAGACAAATTCAAATAAGAAGCGAGAAGCCTGTTTTAGATATGTAGATACAGATATTTATCACTGAATACTGTTCCAAATATGGCTATTTTGATTTATTCTCTGCGACTGCATAGTAAGCATGCCACAGAAGAGATTGTTAGCAAAATGCCTTGGGTTTCGGTTGCTGAGCATGCTGAGCAGCAATTTCATCCTAAGTCAAGGTCAGTTATGAAATTGAGACTTCCATAGCTGAGGATGAAGAGCTCTGTAGTTCTTTGAAATCTAAGTATTCTAATCTATTAATAATCTATTAAATACCATTGTTCTCACCAGCCCTTTCAAAATCTTTTTATAAATTAGAAGTATCTGTGCCCTCTTTTCCCCCTAGTTATTATGTTTTAGTTTGGTTATTTCTGATAGTTCAAATTCCTTTGCAAGTAAAACGCACTGACAATTTTTGCTGAAGGCTTTCACAGTGAAATTAAAAATGCTCTTAGAGACTTTGCAAGGAATGGTGTATAGCAAATACTGGGTTTTCCAGTCCTTTCAGGAAAAGAACGTGTTTGCTTTTCTAATGTTCATGCCCACTACTTTGTATATGTCATTATTGCAGGGGTTCCTCATTTTCTCAGTGACAGATAACGAAGGCTTTTATTTAATTACAGTTGCTTTGTGTTGTACAGGTGAGCATAAGATTCACTTTATTCCGGGAATGATTGGCCCCTTTCTCGGTGTTACACTTGTTCCACAACCAGAAGTCCGGAATATCATGATTCCTATCTTCCATGACATGATGGACTGGGAACAGAGAAAGAATGGCAACTTCAAACAGGTGAAGTTGCTTCCCAAGCATTTGCAGTATTATTTTTCTTGCTTTGTCTATCTGTCCAGTTGGAAACAAGGAGCTTGTGTCTGTTGATCTGTTTCTGATTGTAAAGAAGATGTTGTCATGTGATTATATGAAAATAGAAAATTTGAAGCATAACTCACAAAACTATTACAAGACTCCCACAATTAGTTAAACAATGCACTTTATAGCAAGCTACGTTTTCCATGAACAGAGAGGAGAGGGGCGATGTGCTCATCGCATCAGAGATGACGAAAAGAATTTTAAGTGCTGGACTCTCACTGCTCCCGTTGGTCTCACTTAGATTATTAGTCAACCATTAAACAGGTCAGACTGAGAACCAAAAATGGAGACATAAAGATTTAGCCAGTATTTGTGAAAACAGTTGTCTTTGTTTCTCTGTCTTTGATTTCCAGCTAGAAAACTATATTGTATAATTAAATAGTTTTACCATGCTTTGAAACAGACTTTGTGACTGTATATTCTTTAAGAAATTGTAGCAACTTCCCTGGAATGGTTATGCCCAACAACAGTGCTGTGGTTTCCACCTCTTGTGACTGTAAAACAGGCAGTGGAGTCTTCATCACTTTGTTGCTCAGTGATGGGCAGAGAATTGCTTACTATTTCTACTGCAAAACAGATCCCTGAAGTGCAAAGTATTAATAATGAAGGATTACTTTGGACTGGAACCTCAGATGACAGTGCTTCATTGTCACTGTGTTTGGGACAATACTGGGGGGCAAGTATCTGCAGATAAGTGCTCTGAAGTAGTGAATTTTTTAAAAAATTTATTATAATTCATATGATTATTTATTATCCACAAACTCATTAAAATGCCGGATCTAATCTATCATTCCAGGAGAATGACAGACCTTTTCCATAACCTAAAGGCTGTGTGGAAAAGTATTACCAGGAACTGATGTTTTTCTCCCTCAACTCCCTTGATTGTTACTATTATTACTACTACTACTATTATTATTACAGTAGCAATTGATCATGGTCCTCTTTTTGCTGTTTTAGCATAACAACAGAACAGGCCCTGTTCTGGCATTTAAAGTTATAAGTATCTACAGTCATCTTGAAGTTTCTGGACCTCTTTATACTTTCTGTATCAAGATGAACTCTTCATAATCTTAATTTAATTTTTATATTCATTAATGTATCCTAAACAGGAACTCCAAGAATATTTCTTAAATTACCTGTGGAGCAAATTCCCACACTGCTTTATGAAGTATATGTCAATTTTCTACGATTAAAGACAGAATAGTTATCTGTATTAGTGAGAATGAAATAAACAGTTAAATAGCACAAGATGTATTAAACTTTATTAACATTAGCTGCTGGAACCAGGAAGTTATTTGTTGTCTAGACAGCTGGACAGATCCATTACTGATTTCTGTCAAGTCACTGTAGATAACAAGCGAAGAGAGGGTAGGGGGTTTTAATTTTGAGCTTCTCTTTATTTTTTGAATACTAAATTGGTTGTCAGAAAATATAAAAATCCCAAAAATTAATTTTCAAGCCCTTTTTTTTATTTTCTTCAGTAGCTCATGTTTTAATGGCGTTATTTTTTCAGTGTTATTGGATAACAGTGCAGTCTGATTCATGGACTAAATCAGGGCTCCCTTTAATGATTTCGGCAACAAGAACACCAACTCCATTTGTGTGCCACTGGGTGATTTGCTTTTCCTTCTCATTTTTACTTCCTTTGCAAATTGGCAGCTGAAAAACATGGAGAAACTCAAACTATGCTTGTCTTTAAATAAAAACAAGCCATATTTCTGCAAACAGTTTCAACCTTTAGGAACCTCTGTCTTCATTAGTACTGAAAGTATGTTTTCTGTAAGATTTCCAAGACTACATGATTATTTTTTTTTGTTTAATGTTAGATACATTGATTTCTGCACTTGAATCAAACTTGATAATAGGATGTATTAGACTTGGGGGGAAAAGAATACATATTCAAAACAATTCTAAGGGAAGAAAAATGTAATGATACTGTTGTGGCCCTTTACTATCAGTGTGAAAAGAAAATGTGTCCTACAGTCACAGAGAGGCTTGACAAAACTGGGTTTAATGAACAAATAATCTTCCCGTGTAATGATAGCTGGATGATTGGAAATCAATTACCTACCCGCAGAACCATCGCAGCAGACCAGTGGCAATCACGCCATGAATTAGCGTTTCTGCGTGGATATTCTGTTACAGTACAGGATAAGGTTTCTCTGGTATTAATGCTTCACAGGAAGTGTATCCAAGTGATTTATTTGATCAGAGAATAAACTTCAGAAATTCCTGAGGAGCAGTGCTATGTGCCCCAGGATGTTCATTTAGACCCTGATAAGCAAAAGGATAATTTAGTTTTAGTCGTCCTATTTCGCTGAAAAATGAGAAAAGTGCATCCATTTAACTGAGCCACAGAGCAATAAATCAACTCACCCGTAGAAATGGGCAGCCCCAGGGCATGAGAAATAAAATATTCTTCCAGTCTTCCTAGTGTTTGGATCTCTTGTCTTCTACATGAACAGCTGATTTGTAACCAATCGCTTCTTCATCCAGGTGGAAGCTGAGTTGATCGATAAGCTGGACAGCCTGGTATCCGAAGGAAAAGGTGATGAGAACTACAGGGAACTCTTCAGCCTGCTGTAAGCTATGCCAGTTTCTGCTCACTCTTTGTTGTGCAGGGCCATTGAAAGAGTCAGAGCAGTGATCTGTGTGGCTGCAGCAGCTACAGTGCTGATCTTCAGAGAAACCAGTAAAGGGCTGTCAGGTTTTCATGATATGACTGAGTGAAATAGAAATATGTTGCTTTAATTCTAAAAAGAATATAAAAACCTAATTTCTTTTTTGTCTTCTGTGAAATCTAATGTAAGGCTACACAGGTACATAGTTATCATGCTCCTATCAAAAACTGACTTTGCTACAGGAGCCAGTGCCTTTCTTTTTACATAGCAATAAGTGAAACTATGGCCTTAGGATGGTTTAGAGAAACAGCATAGTCAGTCCTTGTTAGAACAAAAGAGATTTTCCTTTGCTGCTTTCTATTTTTGAAGGTTGTGTTTTGGTTGGCTCAGCAGTTGCAAGTTGCTTCCTCCAGAGCCCATCATGACACTGTATTTCCACTCCTTTTCACACCAAAAATCTGTGCTCGTAAGGATAAACTTAAAGAGTTTACATATGCCTTCTGACTTTCCATTTAGTTGTCTTTGATTACTGATCTGTCTCCAAATTTCATTTCCAGTGATTCTAGCTTATTTCAAGAGGACTTATTTTGAACTCGAGTCCAGAGCAGTTAACCCTGAACCTTTTAATATTCCAGTCAGCCACAGAGATCAGCAGAATTTTAGCCATATATTTCAGACAATTTTATGTGGCCCCCAATAGCATGCTGGCAGTTTGAGGCATAAACCTTTGTTTTGCTAGACCCAATACTTGTATTTCTGAATTTACAATTGCACATTCCCTCATTTTCAAGGGAGATAAACCTGCCCATCCTGTATGTTTATCTGTAGTAAGCATGTAAATGTATTCAGTTTTGATTTGTGCATATTCAGCCTTGGGAAGTCTGGCACTTTATGCATACAGATAACATAAATCTATTTCAGGGATAAAGGAAAGAAAATATCCCTTTTTTTTTTTTTCTTAATTCACCTGGCAAGAGGAATATTATGCATTTCCTTTGATCTGGTTGAAGACATTTGTTACCCAAAATGTTAAGAATTCAGGGACTGTAGCTTGTTACTTATTTTTTGATGATAGTGGCTGCATGCATTACCAAGAAACACAGCCTGGAAGTCCAGACATCTTTCGTTTATATTTGCTACTGACTTTTCTGAAAGCAATGTGAACTTTGAGGAAACAGTTCCACAATTTCACAAAGTTAATAAATGCTGTGCGAAATAAAGAATTGCCCCTGAATTGTACTGTCTCCAATTACATTGCTGAAATGTGAACTGGCTCCCTCAGCTGGAAATCCTTCCAGTACAGAAGAGTTTGCCTCTTGTGAGGACATGTATGACACTGAACAGGATTTCTTTCCTCTTGCCAGTATAGAAGTTGTAAGTTCTTTGACCAGAGATCCAGTTTCAGGAAATTAGCATTAAATTTGCTTTCTCTTCACTTCTTAAGTATTATTTTCAGTGTTCTCACTGTAGCCTTCTCTTATCCTTCACAATTGTCTCAGTGAGATTGCTCCCTGAATTGTCTAGTTAGCTGAGCAGGAAAAGATTGCCTTTATTTATTTACAGTTTAAATAAATTATAATTCATGGTTGTTTGGTTGATTGCTGATTAGAGATGAAAATCTATGTAGGGATGAGCAAAGAAGAGGTATTTGCATTAGTTTCAAACTCCCTTCCAACCTCTGACTGCTGTTAGCAGTATTTAAGCTACAGGTAATAATGTGGGAATCGACTGTTGCCACGAGCATTGCTCTTTTTCATCTATTTTAAATGGCAATGTGAATTCTGTCAATTCTGTAATTTCCTTGTCTTTGCTTCATGCTGCCTGGAGTAGAACCCAGCTCTTTGGGCCTTATCCCAGGTAAGATAGTAATTCTGTGAATTTGTTTCGTGAGGGAGAAACCCAAGTTGCCCACAGCTGTCTGCATGCTCTATACCATTTCCCCGCGTGCCTCATCTTCTCCCTTTTCATCTCCAAACAGTTTGCTGGAGAAGATTGAGCAGGAAACATGGCGGGAGACTGGAATCTCTTTTGTTACATCAGTTACTCGTCTCATGGAGCGTCTGCTTGACTATAGGTATCTGGCAACAACAGTAACATATTCTAAGTATAAGGAGTTTATAAAGAGGTAGTACCAAATTTCTTTCCTATAGGGAATATTTTATTGTTTATCAAGCTGCATACTTCTCTGACGGCAAGTATTATGTAAGCAAGCCTAACTCATTGCTGCTAGGTTCTGAGCAAAAATCCTAAAACTGGATCTCCGGAGCCCTAATTCTCATTTTTAGAATGACAGAATCATCTTGGTTGGAAAAGACCTTTAAGATCATCAAGTCCAACCGTTGTATGCCAACAGCAAAGATAAAGAAAATTTTTAATTCGTAGGTTTGTACTAACGTTTAATCAGGTTGCTAAATGATTAATTCCTCCTATCATGGAAATGATCTTGCCTAATTCAGCAAAATAGATGCTAAATGCAAGAATGATCTTGAATGCCTTGCTGAGCCAACATGTGCCAAATGCCTCACCTAGACACAGAGGCTAGGAAAACTCTTCATCTGAGGGAAGTCTGACATGTCAGCTGGTGACTCGTGTGCAAGACTGCACTATAAATTAGGCATCTTTTGTTTAGTTTTAGACTGAAGTTTGCAGGACCATGGTGTCAATACAGCTGAGCTTTGTTACAAAAAAATATTTTAACTTCATATATGTACACACACACTCAGAGTTGTTTTTATGGAATGACAGACAATTTGAAACTATCTAGATCTGCCCCAAATATTTCTATCTTTAGCCTACTGACAAGAGTTCAAACAAATTTTTCTGCTGCTGCTGCTCATTATGGGTGAAAACCTGTGACTAGGCCAGGCATTCTGCAGTCCCAAATCCTTTTCTGTGCTGTTTAGTTTGCTCTTTTTGTTATTCTGACCAGTTTGATCCAATCTCCTGTTTGTTTCCTGACAACAGCTGCTGTACAACTACTATGAAGACCAGATATCTGAGACACATTTAAAGGGAATGCGAGGGAGCCAATTTTTTTTTCTAATGTGATTTGCTATCAACACAACTTTGTTGCACAGATCTATGTTTTCATGCTTAATTGAGGAACAGATACCAGGTTTTAATTGATTTTTAATATATAGCAGATTTTTTCATTCCCAGAACAGGGAACTGCATTCGAATTTGGAAATACACAGGCATCCCTTGGAGTCCAGCTGCCAATTAGCTGACACAGGAGTTCTCAAGAGTTTGCTCTGTCGCCGCTTTAAAAATTTTGTCTTTTTACAAACGAATGTGACTTTTTCAAGTGAAGATTAGTAATTTTTGAAGCATTTAACTTTTTGTACTGCTTGAATGGGTATCATTTCTAAGATATTCCAGAAATTAAAGATAAATTTTGTGATTTAACTTACCTATGAAAAAGTTAGTAATCTAGTCTAAATTACTCAGGTTGTATCTTTCAGCGTGCCAACACTACATTGGGTAGCTGAATTTATGAAAGCTAATCCTTTGACTAGGAAACATTAAACATTAACATCTGGATAAATAACAGTTTTTCACTTTGATAGTAGATCTTTTATCTGATTTTTTTGTTCAGATTCATGTAAGAAATGAAGTAGCAGTCATTTCAGGTGCTTGTTCTCAGATGCAGACATGTAAAAGGGCACTCAGATCTCAACATTTACACCATAATATGGAAATTTTTCTTAGAGGAACTTTATAAAATAAAGTATATGATTAACTGTTGTATGTGATCCAAAGAAACTCTGGAGGATAAGATAGCTTCAAATTTATTTTAAAAGGACTTTTTTTGCAGATGTATGTTTCAACATTGCTCTGCTTCCTTAGGGACTGTATGAAAGGAGATGAAACAGAAAACAAGAAAATTGGCTGCACTGTTAACCTTATGGTAAAGATATTTCCTTTATCTCTTTGTGATACTGTGCAATGTTGTCAAAACTGGGATGGGAAAGGTTGGGATAGGAATCTGTGTCAGGCAGGTGTAGCTTCGGAATCTGAGCACTGGGATGACAGAACAGAACAGAGGTTATGAGGATCCCCTGGAGGTCTCTGCTCCAACTCTCTGCTTAAAGCAGGGCCAAATAGGTCAGGTTCCTCAGAGCCTTGTCCAGCTGAGTTCTGAGTATCCCTCTGACAGAGGTTCTACAATCTCTCTCGCCTTTTTTTTCCAGCTTTTGACTACCTTCATTTTGAAAAAAATTCATGACATGATGAAATTAGTGGGTTAAATCAGTGTGAATGTGAAAAGAATTATTCCTTTACTTTTACACCAATAATGTGTTCTCTTTTCAATACCTTGATGCATACACGAATGCTGCTGATTGTCTTGAATGAAGGATGAATGTAAATAAGAATGACAACTCTCATTTTCCTTTCACAGAATTTCTATAAATCTGAAATTAACAAGGAAGAGATGTACATCCGCTATATCCACAAGCTGTGTGACATGCACTTACAGGCTGAGAACTACACAGGTTAGTAACACATCATATGGGGTCTGTTTGAAATCCTGGTGAAAGTTTTTGACTCTCCCAATGTTATACTCCAACATGATTCATTCTTTTGGAAAAAATGCGTATGAATAAGTTATGGCAGTTGGGAAGATAAGAAGCTGAGGTCCAGCCCATTCCCTCAAGTGAAATGATGTGTGTCTACACCCACACGACCATAAGACTATTCTGTTACACCCCGAATTTTACTTTAAAGTGTTCTACAAGGAAGATTGATCAAAAAAAATCAGGACAGCAGAATCAAAGTTAGAGGAAAATTAAAATCACAAAACCATTGTTATATTACCATTTGCCATATTTTCTTGCACTGTGGTATTTAGGGAGCACTTAGAAAGTGTATAGACTCTAATTCTGTGTTGTCCAAGCTCTGTTTACAGCTCCAGGCCCCAAATCTAGTTACATATCTGAATATCTGACTGTGCATTTAAATCAAGTAGCTTATAAAAAGAAACTGGACAGATTTGTACCTAAAAACCAATTTCAGAGGAAACACCTTTGTGCTGCTGTTTTAAGCAATTGACTAATTTAATGATCATCTAAGACTTCAAAATGTCTTCCTCAAACTGTAAGCCATAAACTCCAGAGTGTTTAACAAGCAGGTCTAGTGACCTTTCAACTCGTTGGTTCTATTTATTTGTTGTCATTGATTCAGTATTCAATAATTGCCTTTCCAACAGAGGCTGCATTTACTTTGCTTTTGTACTGTGAGTTGCTTCAGTGGGAGGACAGACCTCTGAGAGAGTTCCTGCATTATCCGTCTCAGTCAGAGTGGCAACGTAAGGAAGGTCTGTGCCGTAAGATTATCCATTACTTCAACAAAGGGAAGGTATGCCAACTTCTTCCTCTCTTCCAGCAGCTTCCTTCCCTTTTCCTGACTTACTTAGGGCCTGCAAGCCTATCATCTCAGTTCAGTAGTCCGGAAGTAAATTTATATCAAACGGTTTTATAACTTGACAAATTGCTTTTTGGCTCTCTGGATGAAAAAACAGACGAGAAAATGGACATGGGTATTTCATTATGCATAACACTGGGAATTAAGTTTATGTAGGCCAACAGGAAAAACACCAAAACATTTTTATACCTTTAAGCCAAACTTTGGGTCACCTGATATGGCAGAGAGCTCTATGAATGCCAATTCCTTAGTTTTTTGGGGGTGGGACTGTGTTTTGTAGTTGTCTATGCAAACTGCTGTGTTAGGACTCAGTTAAGGACTTGTTTTGTGTCTAACCTACAGAAGTAAATGGCAGGCAATGCACTGCAGGTGTGCCTTTATTAAAAAAGATTTAAGTCTCTTCTGTGTCACTGTTACTTTAAAGTGGCTTTCAATTAAAGTGCTGTTCCATCCATTGCACAAGATGAAAATCAATACATTTCAATTTCACATATTTGGTTTTGGTTTTCTACAATAATTTTTTTTTTAAGGTGTCACAGTCCCTTATGTCGTGGCAGTTTGGGAGCATTTCAGAGGTGAACCTTAAAAGTGATATCAGCTGTTGGAATATTTTAAATTTTTTTTCCCTTCTCTAGAAAAATTCCTACAGCTTGTATTACTGGAAGATAACATCTGCCTTTGTGCCTCAGAGTTGTTTTTGCCTGTGATGGCAATGACAGTGGCATTAAATACAAATTTGATTTGGTTATACAGGGTTGCCATTCCAGATAATTCTTTCCTAGCCCTGATAATGGAAAGTTGCATATGGCAGAGACATTCTCTACAGAACCTGCAAAAGGACATCAGATTCCTCTGTGTAGGAAGAAATGGCCTATTTATGAGGAAGTGATTAATTAATAATATTTTTTTTTTCAGCCAGAATTATTCTTTTGTAATAATACTGCATATGGCTCTCTTTTTAGTTTCAGAACTTTTCAGGGGGTTTTGGACTGCACTTAAAAAAAAAAAAAAAAATACTGACTTGTGCAAATATTGCAGTACTGTACTCTCTGACTAGACAAAGATGATGTAGATACTATGTAAAACGAATGAGCCTGTATTTTTGAGAAAACAGGCAATCCATATCTGCACTGAAGGGGAGTGAAAACTTGATGGATGTAATTTTGCTATAAAACTCCTAACAGATTATAGAGTGTTAACCTCTTGAGGTTTTTTCCCCATTGGATCCTTTTGGAGTTACTTGACTTTGTGTTTTAATCCTTCTTTATTGTAAATGGTAGCTGAATGACTCAATAATCCACTTAAGCAGTGTGTGTGTCACTCAAACCATGGAAGTGAGAGATGCTGAGAAGCCAAATCCTCCTGTTGCTTTCCAGCACTCTTTCTGTTGCTGTGTAACAGGGAACAGCTCAGGGAATGGAAGAAACTTGCTTCCCTCAACTTGTGTCTGATAGTTTCTTTCTGCACCACCCTAAGATGGTCCCTCCTGAGGTCCTGAAGAGTGGAATTTGTTGTTCCATGTCCTTCAGTTGCATTTCTAGAGTTAAGTTTCTCATGCTGCTCCTGGCATCTTCCACTAAGTAAGGGAGTCAAAACAGCATGAAAAGGGTGTAAAAATTCTGCATTTGTTAATGGGAAAATATTCTCAGCACAGGAATGGGGGAAAACTTATGGCCACAAGACTGTCTTGTGAGATTGACATAAAAGGCATGCCAGTGGAGGGCAAGGAGTGGTGGCATGGCCCATGGCAGGCCTGGAGCACTACAGTGGAGTGCAGAATTGAGTACCTCCCATTCTCAATAGTGTTGGTAGCAGCCCTGTGCTGGGAAGGAACAAGGTGTTCCAAAGCCCTTTTAGCCTTCGCTCTCTCTTTGTGCTCCTTCCTGCTCATTTCTGCTATGCTTTAAACTGGTTTATGGCTCAGTCAGCAGTGTGTGCAAGTGCATAACTTTAAATGAAAATTTTTATTTTTTTAAATTCACAATTATGATTTTGTCTGTTAAAACTCAAGGTTTTCTAGTTGGGAGACTGTGAACTGGATTGATCATACTTCTGGACAGCAACAGCTTGAAAGCTACACAATCTTTTTCTGTCCAGTTAACTGCTAGATTTTCTTAACTAAAAATTCTGACCAACTCCCATCACAGCATCACAGTATGTATTCTCCTTAGCACCAGTCAAGTGCCAAGACACCCAAAGCTGCATTTCCAAAGCAGTTCATTTTTAGATCATATGCTCCATACCCAACATTTGAACTAATCTCTCTTATGCACCCTCATTAGAATCGTATTTCCAAAAGAAATCTGCATATTGGGATGTGAGTAAATAAAGGTTGCCATTCATAAATGTTGATTGTCTCTACCTGTGCTTCCTTGTGTGCAGTCAGCAGCACTCAACAGAGAGTTGCTGGTGCCACAGGAGAAAGCTGCAATAAATGTCATATAAATGTGCTTTTCAAGAGAAGGACATAGTATAGAACATGCAAACAGATCAGATGTCAGCAAAAGAGAAAGCAATAATGATGGAAATTAACGGTGGAGACATTAGGAAATTATTAGAAGAGGGGGGAAGAATGATGCTTTAGAGGGAAGTGGCACTTGTGTAGCACATGGAATTACATATTAAATTTCTACACTGGGAAGATGTTACTCATTAACATCACAGATCTTACAATGGAGAATCCCAGTAACTCAGATATCCTTTCATTCTCTTTGCCTTTAAAATATCTGCAAACTCTCTTTTTGAAGTTACCTGTATATTTTACTTCTTTGCTTCTGTATCTCATCTTGTATCTACAGAATATTCAACTAGCACAGTGGAATTTCTCTGTGTGGAAATCTAACAGAAAGAAAGAGAGAAAGCCTGAGTTAGGATGACAGGAATAGTATCAGGGTACATGTAAAAGTGCTCATATAAAGAGAAATCAGATGTGGTTACATGTTGTTAATTTCATTCACATCAGAAAAGGAGCATAAAAAGGTTACATCTTTAGGATCACCTCAAGGGAAGGCAGCAGCTTTCTGGTTAGAATCATAGAATATCCTGAGTTGGAAGGGACCCATAAGGATCATCGAGTCCAACTCCTGGCTCCACACAGGAC